TTTAGTTTCGGGAAGCCGATTGGTGACTCGATGAACTGCGGGAGCTGCTTTGGACTGATCCCCCCCCCATGAGATCGGCGCACCGTCTGGCTACGCAAGCGCCGCCGTCCGATGCCCGAGCCTCTGGCCTCGCCTGGCCCCATCGACTTCGGCGGCGTGCCCCGCCGCTTGGCCGCAGGACGCTGCTCTGGATGTTGTGCGGGAGCCGACGCAACATGAACTAACTCTGCACCCATACCTACATTCTCAGCGTCTTGACGTTGCTGCCCTCCGATCACCCAACATGTGCGAAAGCTTGTCAACGTGATCAGCCATGTCCTCGCGTAGAAGATCATCCAATCCACATTCCACCCTATGTTCGGCAGTTTCTCGTTCGAAAAACAGAGCATCCTCTGCTGCCAGATCGGCCAATTCAAACATCGGGAAATGTGCGCGGCAGCGGCAACATCCAAGCCAAAACGGATCGCTTTCAACGAAAGGAGGGGGTGGAAAGAACGGCAAACGAAACTGCAATCACACATCATTGTTGCCGTTTCCGCCGCCGTGCATGCACGGCAATAGGTCTTGGAATGGTTACCGGCTGCCTGGTACTGGTCCTGTATTCTTCTAAGGGCTCATGTTGGCCCTCATGTTGATTGTTGATGATGGTGATGGGACTGATGATGGTCATGGTATCGATGATGACGGTGGCTGGTTTCGGGGAACGAATCGGGGCTCATGCCCACGACAACGGGCAAAACAAAAGTCAGAACGCACACCAACAAAAACAGTGGTTGCCAGAAGATAACATAAGAGGTCACCGAACCTCCAAAACAGTGCTTGCGAGAGTCAGCCCACGAACTTCTGAATCGGTGCTTTCGAATTTCCAAGCTGTAGGGGGACAAGCCCTCTACAGTTGTAGTGGAACACACAGTGGCATGAACGTAACTTTCGGAAAATCGCGCTGATTTCTCGGACCGTCGAAAGTTTGTGCTTAGGCCGAATCTTGTCATCCGAATCTGGAGGAGGTGCCGTCTTTCTTCTGCTTCTGGGCGGCGAGGAAGGCGGCAACAACGACGGCGAGCAAGGCGGCGCTGCTCCTCCCCTTCCCTCCCTCCTCCTCGCCCACGCGACGGAGGATGAGATGATCAGGGCGGATGGGGGCAGGGGGAGGGAAGAGGAACGCACCTGGCAAACGACGACGCCAGCGACAGCCGCAAGGATGAAAGCGACGACGACGACGACTCCCAGACCTGTCCCGGGCAGAGCTTCCAGGGGAACATGGCCGAGGCCACGGGAGAAGCCCAGGAGGCCCAGAGAGCGCGAACGACGCCCGCACGCCTGCAACGGTGTCCGAAAACCCTTCGAAGCGTGAAAATCATGATCTTTTTACCTGCATGGGCGAAGGCGGGGGTTGGGGGGAGACATATCAGGTAACGCCCCCCACCCCCCCGCGCCATGTGGGTCTGGCACCACAAATTGCACTGCAGGAGTGCGGCAATGCCGGGGACCCACTTGCGGGGGGGGGGGGGGACCGTGACTTTATTGGGATGGGAGGGGGGAGGGGGCAGGCATAACTTATGGCCCAGAGGGAACAAAAAAACACGCTCGTGGTGGGGGGAGACAAAATACGACGACCCTCGCCTGAGCGAGTGCAGGTTGCACACGCGGCCCAGGAGCTCCTCCGCGACAAAGTCCGCCAGCAACAGCACCCACAGCGCCTCAGCCGCGCGCGCACGGGCGGTTGCGACTGTCGATAATCCTCAGAACGTGTTAGTACCAGCGTGTGCTTGTTCACCGAAGCCCTTCGGTACAACGCATGCGGTGCAATCAGGGCTGGCACAGGCTGTGTGCTGTCGGCGGAGCTGAACGGGGGAAAGCCCACATTGGACTAACACACGTCCTGAGGATCACAGAGAGACAGGCAGGGCTGGCCGCCGCCCCAGAGAATCTCGAACCCGATTACCCATGTCGCCTAACTTGGCGCCTCGCGCCCCGCGATGCGCGACTAGCGGCTGTCGTCGCGCCCTTGCGCCGCCGCCCTGGAGAAGAGCACCTGTCCGACACAAGCCGCGACCTACAGGAGTGGATGGGGCTCGTCTTGCCGCCGACTGCAACGCAGACCTACGCCCCCTCGATCGACATCGACAACGACGAAAAGGCTGGTGACCTGACCAGATGGGAGACCATCGACTTCTGGATCAACCAAATGAGGGACGGGAAAGTGGCCGCCATCATGGCCGGCCCACCACGCGAAACTTGGAGTGCAGCAAGGACCGGCGACATCCCAAATGTAAAGTACCAGCCGCGACCCCTACGGAGCCGAGATCAACCATGGGGATTGAACTACGTAATGGAAAAGGAGAGCAGCCAGATCGACGTCGGCAACCAAATTTGCGCACCACAATCCTCGTGTTGTACGTCGCATACGCAACTGGAATATCCGCCATCAGGGAGCATCCAGAGACAGTGCACGACAGCAGGCAGGTACCAAGCAGCTGGCTGCTAGCTGAGATCCAGCATCCACTGCGTCGAACCAACGCACGACCCACGGCATGCTCGAGCAAATCGCCCGCAAACCAACGAGCCTGCTAGCAGTTAGAGTACGAGGGCTACCTGCGCGTATGTTTGCGCAGCCCAATCGATGCAGATGTAAGAGAGAGCGTGATCCACCGCCACTTTACTGTGGAAAATTGCCCCCCCCCCTCTTCCTCCGGAACCCGGGGGTCTCCCCCCCCACCCCCTCCGAAAATCCCCCCATCCCCACTGCTTGACCTACCCCCCTCTCTCCCTCCCCCCCTCCCCTACCACCCACCCCCCCCTACCCCCTAACCCCCTCCCCCCCCCCATCCCCCGCGAAAACTGGTGGGGGGTCACTACCGGTTCGACCCCCCCCCCCTCGAAAACCGGAGGGGGTGGTCACTACCGGTTCGAACCTCTCCCCACCCCCCCACTCACCGCCAGCAAACGACTCCCGGTCCCTACCACCGTCCGCGCCACATCCCCCACTGTTGTTCCCAGCACCACTGTCCTCACTACCACTGTCCCCACTGGTTCCACCACCGTCCCTACTGTCCCCACCAGTGCTCCCACCACTGTTGCACTGTCCCCACTGTCCCCACCACTGTTCCCACCACGGTTTCACTCTCCCCACTTTCTCCACGGCCCCAACCACTGCCCGACTATCCCCACTGTCCCCACTGTCCCACTGACTCCTCCGCTGTCCCACTGAGCTGTCCTACTGGTCCCACCACTGTCCCCACTGTACCTCTATCACATTGTCCCACCGCCGTCCTCGCCACCGCCTTCACCACTGTCCCCACCACCACTGTACCCTCCACTGTCCCACTGTTTCCACCTCCCCCTGTCCCCACACCACTGTCCCCACCACCACCGTTCCCACCACTGTCCACTGTCCCCACTGTTCCCACCATTGTCCTCACCACTGTCCCCACCACTACAGTCCCCACCACTGTCCCACTGTCCCCACCACTGTCCCGCTGTCCCCTCACCACTGTCCCCACCACCACCGTCCCCACCACTGTCCGCACACCCCCTCGGTTTTCGAGGAGGGGGGGGGGGTTCGAACCGGTAGTGACCGCCCCCCCTTTTCATGATGAACTGGGGGGGGGGGGTTCGAACCGGTAGTGACCCCACGCGGTTTTCCGGAGGGGGGGGGGGGGAAGGGGTTCGAACCGGTAGTGACCCCCCCCCGGTTTTCCGCCCGCAGCGGTAGACCACGCTCTTTCAGATGTAAACACGGTCCTGCTGCACATCCACCACTACTTGGGCGAAATGAAAATGAGACATGGCGTGGCGCGGCCGCAATGACATGCCCCACGGAGCCCAACAAGATGCTTGCAACCACGCTATCCAAGGCCACGAACCAGGAGATTCCTCCTGATCGCCCACAGCACGAGGCAATCCTCGCGATCGGACCGGCCTGACAGCGGCCGATCAGTGCGCTATATCATCACCTACCTACTTCATGATTGCAGCAGACAGGACCGCCAGCTGTTACCAACCCATTCCAATATCTGCACCATTCTATAACCGACACGCGCGCACTCACCGCATGACGGAAGCAGCACAGGCGGTGGTAGGGGATCCCACCCTATACAGCAGTATTCTACAGCGCGAATGTCAGTGGCACCGGCAGCACAATACGGCGTTATCACCAGTGGCGACTGCGATCACTCGCAGGCGATTGCAAGTGAGCCACAGGTCTCCACCAACCTCCAACCTTCCCCTCCTCCTCCTCCTGGCTCATCTGCTCGATGCCCCATCTCCCTCCTCCGTACCCAACTAACCTCCTCTACACCCCTCTTCTTGTGGTGGGGTACGGGTGGGGCTCTATCAAGGAGGGAAGAGGGGGAGCTCACCGACGGCCAAGGGCCAGGGCGGCCGCGGCACCAGCTACGAAAAGCCGTCAGCGGACCCTAAAGTCTCCATCCATCTTCCTTGCACCTTCAACAATTTCGGCCTTCGACCGCCTGCAACGCCTGCCGCAGCGAACCAAGTCCCAACTGTCACCGCGCAGGCCACCGCCTTGGATTGCAGGAGCCACCTCCAAGCGCGGTGGACCCCCCACCCCCAAGCAGCCACCATTCCCCGGGGGAGGGTACGAGCCATGGGGATGGTGGCTGCTTTGGGGGGTTTCCTATGCGCAGGAGGTGAGGTCCTTCTGCCATCCACCTCTGGCGAGCGCGGCCGGCACCGCCGCCACGCTGCCCACAGGGGAGGGCACAAACCTCCCTCATGCTCGGTGGAAGCCCCCCCAAAGCGGCCCAGAGGCCGAATTGCTGGGAACCCTACGCCTGCGTGCAGGCGAAGGATCCCGCAGTCGGCCTCTGGGACGCCGGGGGGATTCCTATGAGCAGAGGGAGAGGCCTTTGTGCCCTACCCTCACAGCAAGCGGCACCCAAAGAGTCCCCGTGGAATGGTCTTGCCACCGCACGCCGTTTTAAACTGCCACACCACTTGCTACCGCCTGAGCCTCTTCTCAACTATCGCTTTCACCT